AAACAGCCAGCGTTTTATTAAGTATTTTGTCAGTGTAGCAAATTTAGTATGGAGATATATACCTGTAAATCAAATATAACTTATAAATATAATTATATACTCTATAGTATAAGTGAAATAATGAAATGTTAAGTGCTATGTAACGAATGAATGCAAAATAACATTTGAAGAGAGTGCCTACGTCAGGCTATAATCTATATTCTCGGGGCGTAAATCTGATGATTTAGGAAATCGCCGTCAAATGTTGCATGTATGTACGTAGTATGTAGTATACTCTGTAGCTCTTTGGAAAACATTTATTATCTGTGGTAAAAGTCAAATTTGGCAGTTGGTTTTGACATAACTGCCCGTTATCCTAGTGTTTTATTTATTAGGACAAGTAATCCTTCGACTTATCTAGTCTTGATAACACGCTATTTCACTTAGTCATATTTGTTTAGGATCTTATCAGAGTTGTAAATTTTATCGATTTATAAGCTATTAAATCTACCCTATTTATCCATATGAATTTATGTTTGTTCCGTTTATATAGCCATATACATTATATACTACTCGTAGATGCCCGCGAACTTCGTTTCACCTTAATATGAATTTTTCAACCTACCTTTTTAGTAGCTACATAGTTGTGTTCACAATTGCAGGAAAAGACAAATAGTTTTTTTAGGTTTTTCCGTGTAATTTTTTTTTAACTTTTAGAGCTCAAGACATAGAAAGAATACTGGAATTGGTCCAGCCGCCTTCGAGTTTAGCGCGTAGAAACATATTTTGCGATTCATTTTTCATTTATATATGTTCAAGTTTTCAGGAAAATTTTCTCCATTAAATTTCTGGAGCCATTTAAAATATTACTGTTACGATTAATTACGTTTTAAGTTTTACTTGCTTCCATGAATAACCAAGACGTTCAGGCGGGACCATTTTTTCCAGTTTTACTACATGCTGCTGAATTCCAACACCGATTCATTACAAAATTCCATATCTCGATGTCCTTCCACAACTGAGTGTTTAAAATACCCTTTTAGCCACATCACCACTATGCGGAACCAACTCTCCATAGAGGTTTTAAAAGGCCAGCAACGCACTCGCGAGTGCTCTGGCATTGAAATTGTCCTTGGCGGCGGGGCGGTATCACTTATCAGCTGAGCCTCCCGGACGTTTATTCTTTAAAAAAATCGTTCGAACTTCAATTAGGCCCGTGAATGCGTTGCAGGCCTTTTATGTTAGGCATCTATCGCCATGGCTGGCACAAGAGTCTCCCGGTTTCCTTAGAATTAGTGTAAGTGTTGGTAATATCCAAATATTTGTCAATCTATCGTCAGAACATCGGTCGGTGATCGGGCGATAATTGACGGTCGCCGGCTTCTTCGAGTGATGTTTGCCAGTACTGTTTATATTGGGTAGGGTGACCATGGTCTTATTAAGGATGGGATAGTGTAGCTGGATAGATATATATGGAAATAATATTTAAAAATACTAAGTGCGTTTCAGAATTGTAAAACAGTGGCGCCATTTATTCAAAAACGAAAGTAACACAAATACAGAATATGTAAAATATAAGGTATAGTTATAGACAGGGATTAAATTGTTTTAAGATAAGAAAGAAAATGCTAGAATTTTATATTGGATTACAGACACAGAACTATTACGCAATATAGGGTCTATTGTGTGTTTTCTAAGAACATAAACACGGGACTCTCGTGCATGGTTATAATTGTTAGCTAGTTATGCAGACCTTAGGTTCCCCACAACGGGAGCAGGGACCCGCTAATTGTCGTATGACTATTGTCTGCTACGTTCACACAATAGTGCCCCAGTTAACTGTTAGGTTTTTCAAGAAAATACTTTTCTATTATTCTCGTTAGGACCGTAGTAATCGTGAGGACAATGCTTTGAAAACTTACTCAAATTGTTTTAGCAAAAAAGCAGGTCTAGGTCTCTGATTTCTGTATCTGTTTCCTGATCATTTGTCAATCTAATAGGCAAGTAAGATCAGCCTCCTGTGGCTGACACACGCCGTCAAATTTTAGGGTCTAAGGCAAGCCGGTTTCCACACGATGTTTTCCTTCACCGTTCGATCGAAAGTTTATTGCGCATTGAAAGAAAGTCCATTGGTGCATAGCCTTGGATGGAACCTACCACCTCAGGGATCTCACCCTGAAGCCAACAGTGCTCGATGTTTAACTTTTCTCGCTAAAGGAATTTCAATCGACTTAAAGAAAAAACTATGTTATGAACAAAATGTGTGCGTACAAATCATTATAAATGTCACAGTACAGAAATATAACGTTTAGAATCCCCGCGTTATATGGGGGAATACCCGTGTTATGAGGGTCTGAAATCGCGTAATATGAAAAAGCGTTATAAAAGTACCGTGTTATAAGAGGGCTTACTATTAATATAAGTACATATGTATAAAAAATGTTTTTATTAAACCATATAAGAAACATTTTAACGTTAATCCAATATATTTTATTATATTTATTCTATTTGTGGGTAATGTAAACGATTGTATAACTTAGTCTTCAACTGAAGAGTTAAAACGAATATAAAATGCGTGTTTCTAAAAGATAGTAAAATCTCCGTGATTTAATAATGCAAGAACCCAGTATGCAGTGAATGCGTTGTTTTTTAAATATTTTATCCACTGTTAAGCTAGTTTTCATATTCCTAAATTAATCTTTATTTCGACCCAAGTATATTTTGCTTGTCCTTTACTATTAGTTTGTCATAGAGATGTAGGCCAGTTTTCCGTTAGAAATTTCTTCTTCAAGTTGAATTTTTAGCTATCGAATGGAGGGTCTAGGTCTAAATTTGAAAAATAGAGTAAATCTAGAAAAATTAAAGACATGACAAAGTTTAGAACTGCTGTTACTTCTAGTAAAAGACTGAAATGGAAATGAACAGCACACATTATGAGAGAAGATAAAGATAAAAAAGAGACGGAATGGCTTCCTCGCTATGACAAAAGAAAACTAGGAAGACAAATAAAAAGATGGGAAGATGATATAAGTATCGCAGTCGGCTCTGTGTGGCTACGTAAAGCTAGACACCGAGAAGAGTGGAAGCTCTTAGAGGAGGCCTATGCCTAAGCTGTAAAATAGAAATTAACCAGCTTGCTGATTAATTATTAGTGTTTACTCACATTTTTATGTACTAGGATAAGTATTTTACAACAATAAAGGCTATTATTATTATTTATTGAATACTCAGGGTTTCTTAGTTTTCGGAGTTATGCCCCTTGAGTATAGCCAGACACAGGCACTCTCTTAAGCAAGCATTAAATTATCTTATATCCTTTAATAAATAGTGTACATTATGTAAAACAACCTTCCTGATCCAGGAACTGTGCAATTACGTTACTAGTACTGGTTACCGTAGGAGTCACTAAGGTTCGGCTGTGAATGAATCGATTCATGTCTTTTAATGTAACAGTGGGAAACGTGCAGGCCCATCTGATGTTAAGTGATACAGCCGCCTATGGACCCACATTGCCAGAAGGCTCAAAATTGCGTTGTCGGCCTATTAAGAATTTGTACGTTCTCTTAAAGGGCTCTTAGTCAATTTAACTTAATATAGAAACTTAAGTCTGTTTGAATTTGAAATTAAAGTAACAATATCCCAGTAAATGAAACCAAATGGTCACCCAACAGATAGGATTGGATATTCCGATCCCTTTGATGTTACCGCCTTGAAGGCATCTGTTTACAATAACTTGCCCGGCTAACCGCGTTTAGACCACACCATTTTTATTCAACATTGAAAGTTATTATGTTACGAATGTTTGAAGGTATCTAACGGCTTCAGTTCAGTCAAAACAATTATTATTTCGCTGGGTATCGAATACGGGACTTATTTTATGGGGTAATGTCGTAAAATTTTAAAAAATATGTCTAGTTTAAGGTAACATTTTAAGGTATTTATAACTTACAATACCAAATAATTAGACCACGCACAATTGACAGATGACAGATAATGACATCTTATAGATTGTTGCCATTTTAAGGAATTAGTTTCAATAATTTTCTGTCTGGCATAAGGTTTCGTAGTAATTGTTCAATTGTTGCACACTCCCTCGAGAGGGGTGAACTTTGACCCTTTCGGGGCATATGCCCCCTTCGGGTGGTGTTACATATAGAAATACCATCGTAACCATGGAAACAATCACAGTACTGAAACTCCACTTTTTATAATAGACTTACGTTTTTCTTGGTAAACTTCATATGGAAGCCTAAATATATGTATAATATTTATCATCTCACACTCAGTCAATAGGCCACAAAACTTTTAAAACCAGATTATGTATTAGCAACTAGAGAACCTATACAATTATTTTTAATTCTGTTTAGTTAAACATTCATAATTTTAAGAACTCACGTTTCTGCAAGACGCCAAAAGATGGCGTTGCACAAGTCCGACATATTATAATAATTAACACGTTAACAAATGGCATTTTTTGCAATACGATACGTAAACAATAATATTAATTACACATTCAAACACATACGAATTTCCTATTATTATTGTCGTACTTCGCTTCACACTTTTCATTTCACGCTTCTATTATAAATGTTCTAATATCCAATAGAATTTTATATACGTTTCGCGTCTATATGCATTTCGTGTTTTAATAATAGCCCTTTGATCTGCCGATACATCTGTCTGTGTTTATAAGTACTCGGTCGTGTTAACACTTAGCGGTAAACTATTTTCGGAATAAAACAAACTGCGTCCGTAGTCGGCTTCCTTTCTGAGTTTTTACGGATGTGAAAATTTCTTTATCTGTAAAATTTTTTAGTAATTTTAATCCATATTCAGACTAAGAGAGAAGTTTCGATACTGAATTTTTATTTGAATTATTTACAAAAACGAAATGTAGTAAGTTCGTTCGCCATGGTCCGGGTGTAAGGGATGTATGTATTGGATCCTTAAACATATTGTCTTAAATAATTTTACTAAGTTTTAGTTGCTTTGTTTTGTTCCATTAGTTTTATCTAAGAAATATGTCCTATGTTGTTGTGTATGTAGGTGTGTATCTTATCTATTTTTTTTCCTTACGTTGTTTGTCTGGAAAAGATCGCTCGAAAGCGATAAGCCCGTCAGTTGCCCTCCTTTTTATTAAATTATTATAATTGTACATCATTTCTTTATTAGTGCAACGTGTTAATAAATAAAATATTTAATCATTGCCTTATACCCTGCTCTCGTTTCTTAATAATAATATCTTTTTTACAGAGGCTCTCCATCATGGGCACAAACTGCACAGCCATAAACCGAGTCGGAAGCATCGAGCTGCTACACCTGGTAAATCTTAATCTAAACATATATATGTTATGTATTTTATTTAGATTTTTAGTTTCGGTTTAATAAATTCTCTATTTCATATACCCTATTATCCCTAATCAGCCTTCCCCTGATGTTTTATAGCCGGGAGAGGAGCTATAATCGTTCCCAAGACTATAAAGCATACTAAAATTCATTATAATGGCGCTTTTTATACGTGGAAGTGTAACATCTTACGCATTTCTAATATTAAATTAAAAATTGTGCGAATGAGTCTACTAAAGTATTTCCGAACAAATTTGACTTAGGTCCTTCAAGAAAAGAGCGTACCAATTGTTAAAAGCGCACTCTGGCATTGAGTGTCCATGGGCGGCGATATCACTTAACATCAGATGGGCCTCCTGCCCGTTTGCCCGCGATATATAAAAGAGTATTTTTAAGTAATTACTAAGTAAAAACACTTTGTAGTTTTTTTCCTATTTTGGAAGTAATCTGTTTATAAATTCTATGTTCAGCGTAATTTATTGTAGATCGATAGTAACTGCAGAAAATGATTATGTAAGATGTGGTGTACTTTAATAAATAAATAAGATCGCCCGCTTGTAATCCCAATTAATACAATGAGACAGATAAGCCTGCTTTCTTTACATGTATTTGTATTATTTAATACAGTTTCAGATGGCGCCCTTCGTTTCGAACCGGCTCCATATAATAAGAAGTTGGAGCTAAACAGTCTTGGAAAGATTCACTGCAAAGTGGCTGGGGGCGTGGCACCTACTGTGCAGTGGTTTTTGGTACGGTAGCCTCCGAGATATATAATACGTTTACGATTAAGATTACGTGATATATACATAAAGAATAAAGGAGTTGACATATACAATTCAATTAGTTGCAATATATATTATGCTCATTTGATTATACTTTTTTTATCTATATTATATGCATATATACAGAATGGTCCAACTAGTGACGTCAATATTTTTTTTTTAGATTCCTCACACCTGGGGGTGTACGAAAATACCCCATGTATGTTCCGCGATTTTTTGTAATTTTTTAGTTATAATTTTTTTTTGTGTTTTTTGAATGTTTTCTGCCAGCGAGGTTTCATAAATTCATATCTTTTTTTGTTGTAGGTATTTTGCAGTTTTTTTTTCTGTGAAATTATTGTCTTAAATGTTGTTTAAATAAAAAAAAATATTTCAGCTTCCTAAAATTAGTTAAAGCTACTCAAAAAAGGTTTTAAATTAAAGTTAGAAGTTTAGTTTTTATCTGGGTTTGCCCGAACATTCGACTTCAATTTAAAAATATAAAAAGAAGTTTCCATAGCTTCTGGCTAAGTTTTAAAACTCCGCAGGGTTCTAAACTACCAAAAAAAGGTACTTAATTGGTATTTTTTTGTTGTAATCGGCCTTTTAAAATGGATAGGCTAAAAATCATTGTAGCATTAAAAAAAATCTACTTTTTATTATTCTTATGGTAATTTAAACTTTAAGATATGGTTTTAATTAATTTTAATACCCGTAAAATAAATGTAGCTCGTGTAATTCTTACAATAATTTAAGTATACGTGTTGTGGTTGCAATTGGCCCTGGCTCAGAATTATGTTGAAGAGCAGACTGTTCCACAGCGCTGGTAATTCTGCCAGAGACCACACTAGCTAATTGCGCCTCAGTCGCAAAAAAAGAAAAATAATGTAATAATTATAATACTTAGTAGAAAAAATAATATTAGTAAAAGTTAGCAGTGTATGTTATGAAATCTTGTCAATCTAAGTTTTAAACGAAATTATTTTTAATTTCATTACGCGGCAGTTTAACCAGTCAAAACGTATTTAACAATCAATAAATAATAAGTGTTTGTTTAATTATCAATAAACTAAACTAGTAAGACGTCTATCTTTTTAATAATAACCTGTTTATATCAGAATGATGAAGAGCCTCTACCCGAAAGCATCACATCATCCAACGGCACGCTTCTCATCACCGAGGCAAAACGTGAACACGCTGGTCAATACACCTGTAAAGCCACTGATGGTGATAAATCCATCGCCGCGAAGATCACTGTGGATGTTGTAGGTGAGGAATAATCTTTAATGTGTTGTTGAGTTGTTCCATCCGTATCACCTCGACGTCCGTCGTAACACAACTGAGAGATTCCTCAGGGAGATTTACGCGCGTACCACCACTATGCGGAAGCTGCCCACTGAAGTTTTTCCGAACCAATAATACTTAAAGTCTTTCATGAAAAGTGTACCAATTCTTAAAAGGCCGGCACCGCACTTCCGAGCCTTCTGGCAGATCGAATGTCCATGGGCGGCGGTATCACTTAACATCAGATGAGCCTCCTGCCCGTTTGCCTCCTATATAAGTGTGTATGTATGTAATACAAGTGTAACTTGCTTGATTGGCAACTTATTTGGTTAAATAAATAATCAGCCTATTCAGCGTTGTTTTTTGCCGTCTAAGCCCCATCAAATTTTCAGTTGCACCTCGAGTATTAGAGCCCACAGCGGGCCAGCAAGTTCATGTCAGGATTGGTGATGATATATCACTGAACTGCAAGGCCATTGGTGACCCTCCACCCACCATTCATTGGGACAGGAACAGAACTATTTTGACACCTCAGAGTGAGTAGAATTTGTTTGACCTAGCATTTCCAGTCAAAAAAGTACGTGCGTACAAAGTAGGTAGGTCAGAATTGAAACTTAAAAAATTAAAATGTTTTTTTTTTTTATTTATTTCTTCGATAATAAAAACACGTGGCATTTTATTTTACAATTCGCCCTTTGAGATTTCAATCAATTATTTTGCATAAAATATTAAAATAATAATAATCTTTATTTATTTTATTTTACAAATATTTCATAAAATCTCTTGAGGAAATTTTAATTTTAATAATAGAATTTCTATAAGGTAATTAGCCCTTCTCTCTCTTTCTCTCAATCGTCCTCTCCCTTTTCTTCGATAAAAACGCTGCACATCTTCGTGACGCTAATATTATCGCGTTTCATCCGTGAAAATTTTACCATCATGCGCCTAAAGAAGTTCTCAATACACATATCACGTTAGTCTTAAGTGCTAAACAGTAGTAAGTGAAAAAATAATCTTAATTTTTTTTTTTTTTAAAGACAATTCACACCAATTGACCTAGTCCCATGCTAAGCTGGTGAAGCTTGTGTTATGGGTACTAGGCAACGGATATACATACATATTATAGATAGATAGACATATAAATACATACACCCAAGACCTAAGCACAACACCAAATGCTCATCACATCGATGTTCGTCTCAGCCGGGGATCGAACCCGGGACCCATGGATTCGCACTCAGGGGTACTAACCACTAGACCAATGAGTCGTTAATAGAGACTGCAAGTAGTATGTGGACACTTAACAAAGTAAAGGTTACACTTAAATTAGTTATTAGTAAGTTAGTAATGTTCGGTAATGTCTCAGTGAAGAGAGACTGTATTAAAGAACTCGTTAAAAAAACACCCTTGGTCAAGAAGACATTTAAAAATAAAAATGTGTGCGTGTACTAGGTGTACACACATAAGAAGTGAAACTTCTTTATGACCTTATTAGAAACTATTTCTTTAAACATACAATTTACAAATTAATTGCTGCAAATTGCGATTAGCAAATTTCAAGTCGAAAATGTAATCCGTTGTCAAACTTCAAAGTCAAAAACATACTATATGTCATATTTTAACGCCGATAAAGTTTGACTTCAAAAAGCAACATGGCGCGTAACGAAAAAATGTGACGCGTAACGCAAAAATGTTACACTAAATTTTTTTTCCAACCCCGATAAAGAAGTTTCACTTCAAAAAACTATTTTTGTCAAAAGGAATACACGATATTGAAATAAACACACTACATAAGTATTTTAAAATAGCAGTAAATATGCGAGCCGGGTTATAAATTGATAGAATAAATTGCAATTCATAACTGGCTTGAAATAGTCAAGCCAGCGACACTGATTCCAAGCTCGGACCTCGACTAAAGCCCATCACAAAGGTAAAACATTCGAGAGGGCTTTACTAAGATTTCGTGTAATTTCCAGACGATGGTGTTGATACAGAAGATGGTGCCAACGCGTCTTTCGCAAGGTAAATCTATAAAATACATCACTAATAAAAGAGTATTCCCCCAATAGGTCAGGAAGCAAGATGTCTTCTCATATTTTTAATCGAATGTTGAATTTCTTTAACAAGACATATGTGGCTTCAACTTTTCATCCCTGAGATTGTAGCTTCAACGCCCGGCTGTTCATCAAAAAAAAGGGGGCGGAGAGTTTATTGCCAGTTCTTCTCTTCCGTTCTACGCCCTTGATTTGAGAACTGGCAGTAAGTGTAAAATTAGAAGCGCTTCATTTATTTTTTGATGTTCATAAGTGTACATTCTGTTACCTAAATGAATAAATGAATTTGAATTTGCTACTAGTGTTGCTTTTACATATATTATATTTAATTTATTTTGCAGAATTCTCCTCCTAAACAACGGAACGCTTGAAATTCACAATGTAACAGAGCAAGACTCGTACAGATATGGATGTACTGCAGGGAGTGCCGCGGGTTTATCTAGAGCAGAATTGGAGCTCATTGTACATACAGGTAATTATGTCTACTGATATATTTGCCTTTGACCCTTGAAAGTACCTATATACCTACCTACCTAGTAACTAGACAAAGGATCTCTGGGTCATTCACAGCCATTTCCATGTTATTTAATGGAACAACTTGTTTTATATGTGGAAAATAACTGACTATTTAGTTTGACAAACAAAGCATCGGCTAGTATTGTTCACAGAGTAGAGAGGAGGGCAAAGACAAACGAGAAAAACAGACTTGATTGATACCCATTGCCTTGAGAATGGGGCAAAAGGCGCGAAATTTAAATATTACAACACATTTAATTTAATATTTTTTCGTGCCATGCCCCACCTTATCCATTCTAAAATTCTTATGCCCAAATATAATACATAATTTTTAATATAAAACAATATAATTGTTAACTTAAGAAACTTTAATGATAGGTTTTAGGAAATTGTTAACGAAACACAGTAAGTAAATTTTCAAAATAATGAAAAACTGAAATTCAAATTCCAAATTTTAATTAATATTTTTCTATATAAATTATTTTAATTTAGTGAAAAGTCAGCTTCATGCTTGCTGCACAAAAATTTTACGTTAGATTCCAATTTTGTTAGTTTCAGTCCCAAGTCTCCCCGTTGTGTTATATCCAGCCGATTTCCATTCCCCCCTTAACAATCAGAGTGGGGCATGGTCCTTGGAAACACCGATCCAGAAGCTTCGCAAAAAATACAATAAAAAATAAAGCTCGCACGTGCCCGTAAAACGCAAGCATTGATCTGTCTTTTTTCGTCACAGAGTTACTACAATTGGTCGGAAAGAGACAAAAACTAAAAATTTAGATTATCTGAATAAGTGTTTTTATATTGAACACGACTTGTTAATACAAAAGGTATACTTAGATGACATTTAAACAATTTATTAACATTTCCTTGAAAGTATAATACGCGTTGCAGACCAAGAGCTAAGCTACGTTAGTTTAGCTTAGCTCGCATAGCTGACGCAATTTTCCATACGTCTGTGCAGACCGCAAACTATGCGAACTAAGCTATGTGAGCTAACTAAAATATGCGAAGCTAAGTTAGTTGTGTATGCCGATGCGCAGCTACACGAGCTAAGCTAAGCCCCTCCCGCTACCCCGCACACCCTTCGCACATAGTATGCAACACTGACTGAGCTTTGGGTTAGCTGTTGGTGTGCACGCTATTTATTTCTAGCTTAGCTTAGCCTAGCTTGCTTGGCATAGCTTAGTTTAGCCTTGGCATAGCTTAGTTTAGCCTTGGCATAGCTTAGTTTTCGGTCTGCAACCGGCTTTATTGTATATTTAAATTTTTTCAGAAAACGACATGCCCCCACAAGAATCCAGCGGGGTCGCGGGTAAAGCTGTGCTCGTCTCCATATCCGTGGCTGGGGCTTATATGCTCCTTGTCCTGGCTCTCATGGTGTACTGCAGACGACGAAGACTCAAGCGCAGACAGAGAGGTAATTTATTTTGGAGTATATTTTTATCCAACGTTGGCATGTTGGAGAGCACATCAGCACTAATTGGTAAACTCTAGAAGAAAACTGTCTTAGACCAGATTTTGAAAGTTCATAACTGGAACAGTTAGAGGTGTTATCACACATTCACATTTAAATAAGTATTTTTTTTTATTTATTCGTATTAATTTACTTCTTAGCGGGAGAAAAAGAGGAATTAGAGATGGCGGAGGGTCGAGAGAAATTAGTGGAAGAGGGAGAAGAAAAGAAAGTGCAGAACGGTGCTCCGTTGCACAATGGTCGGCTCTTGCATGAGCGGGATAGCGGTATGTTATTTCACTTGCAAGAAAGGGACAGTTTTTATTCCCAAATCCAATTGGTCTATAGATACATTAGCCCGTTTTTTAACAAATCATATTCTTTTACATAGATATTTTCATCCTTATATTTTAACAACTACCACTTCGTCTCTTTCTGACAAATTGAGTTTATACTGTGATGAAAAGAGACTATTCGATTTTTTCGAGCAATAAGCCTTCCTTTTCATTCAATTATGTTTTTGCAACAAAGTGTTAATAAATAAATAAATAAAAAAATACGTTTGGCACTCGGGGACTGCCGCGGTAAAGCTATTGAAGAGCATTTTTTATAAACTTATGCAATATAATTATTTATTTATTTTTTGCAGTATTTTTTTTCTTTGATATTAATTCAATCTACCACTCTACCAGACTCAGACTAACACGCCTATCCGATCACGCTAAACCGACGTGAGACGCAGTATGCGTTCTGTCCCACTCTAACGCGTATTGGCCGCACCTATATTACGTCATCGTGTGTTAGGTTTATTTCGTTACGGATTTTCTTGATTCGGTCGCCGCGCACAAAGCCCGCGATAAAATCTATGCAATAGCTTAATAATAAAGACATATACATATACTTTTCAGGTGCAGATAATTCCGAGGTGTCAGTCATGTCTCGCGCCTCCAAAAAGTCTGGACATTATGAACAATTTTCGATACCCAAGTCTTTGATCACGGAACAGATAACTTTAGGTGAGTAAAAATATTTTTTTCGAATATCAATACAAAGAAATAAACCTTCTTAGGTAATTGTCGGTTAAAATACAAACTATATATCTTTACCAATAGATTTTATGTAAAAATAATTATAACATAATTAAGAAAAGAGTATACCTCTTAAAAGGCAGGCAACGCACTTGTGACCCTTTTGACAGTGAGTGTTCATAGACGGTTTTACCCCTTTTTAAATAATGTAATTATTAACATATATATTTTGTTAAATAAATCAGTGTCGCTACTACCGTTTTAGGTCTAGACCTCAGATTTCTGTATTGGTTTCATGATCATTTGTCAATCTAATAGGTTGGTGATCAGCCGTTGGCTTTTTGGGTCTAAGGCAAGCCGGTTTCCTCACGATGATTTCCTTCACCGTTCCTGCGAATGTTAAATGCGCACATAGGCAGAATCGATTGGTCCATTGGTGCACAGCCGGGGATCGAACCCATTAGGCCAACACTGCTCTATATATTTTGTTACAGTGTTGTATAATATCTATTAAAAATCCATTACAAATCTAATCAATATTATTTTGTATTAACGCCTTTAGTACACCTACGCGTTCGTATGCGGCTGCGAGTCTTTGCGAAATAATTGCGGTATTGAAATATCTGCGGAACGTTAGTACACTGCAGTTTTTTCGCAAGGAAATGTCATTGTAGCTTTATTTCTTACCATCTATCCCCGTCTTTTCTTGAATTTTCCTCCATGCCACCTCTTTTTTGTATGCATTTTTGTAATTAACATGCCCAACTAAATATAATTCGGGATAATTTCGAATCAAATTTAATAATAATTCAATATTTTCGGCTTCCATTGTGCGAAATTCTGTCCTCACTGACAGAACGCGTGGTGACGCATTGCGATGCGAAACTCCGCTAGCGAAACGGCTGCGTCTGTGTAACAGCCATTTCGCAGTTACTTGCGAAACAATACCGACAAGGACGCAACTGTTTCATCTAGCTATATAATAGAGCGAGACAAAACACATGCGAAACGTTGCCATACAACTTACAGTTTTTTCGTCGTTTCGCTGCCGCATGCGATTGCGTAGGTGTACTAAAGGCGTAAACAATGAAATCATTCGGAATGTATATATATTTCTAGTTTTGGAATTTTATTAAATACTGAAAGTAATAAAGGGTTTTTTTTTTAAATTATGTTTTAGGCTGGTTCATTAAAGAATTTAGTCACTGACCATTTTTGTTTGGCCCCTTTCAGGTCGCGGAGAGTTTGGGGATGTTTATCTTGCTAAACTGGATCTGTTGCAAGTGAAGAAGCTAAGGAACAAGGACGATCCCGACACAGAGCCCAAAGTTCGAGCTGTTATGATCAAAGCGCTTAATACTAAGGATGAGGTAATGAAATAAAATGCTATTTTAATATCATTAATTTTTATTAATGATATTAAAATAGCATATGGACCTTGGCCTCATATATCGGTGTAATACCCAAGTAGGTGATCAGACTTCTATGCCTGACATGCCGTCGAAATTTTGGTCTAAGGCAGTGTTATCCAACGTTCCACGCTTCGAAGGGGGCAATAGAAATCGGGTGTAACAGAACATGGAAACTTGGGACTGAAGCTAATCAAATTGGAACCTAATATTAAATCTCTTTGCAGCAAGCATCTGCGTGCGTACAAGGGAGCGTTCAAGTATTACGTCACGCAACATTTGGAGATTATTGACACACACACACACACACACATGTAACGCGCAGTAACGTTTTTCTGTAAAATAAATTATGTTTATTATGGAAAATAAGATACATGTATCACTTATTCCACGTCATTAAATTTGAATTTGTTGGCATCCCTACTCATCGGCAAAGAAGACAGAGGGTGTAGGCCGAGAGAAAAAGCCGGCGTAAAAAACTCTCGGTACTCTTTTTTGTACCCAATAGTGACCACTCAGTGGCTCTTTATACCTAAAAGTTACCATTATGTGGTGTAAAATACTGGAAAGTCGAAAATAATGTTAACAATAACGCGTAATTCAATCCCCGCCCCGCATCGTAACGTTTTACAAAAGGAAAAAATTCGTTACGTAATACTTGAACGCTCCCCAAAGTACATATTCTTTGACAAACTCATTTTTAAGTCTTGTTCATATTTAAACTTTAGATTTTTGAGACTTAGAGGGAAGGAAAAAGGTAGATATGTTAGGAATTTAATAAATTTAATTGTCACACTAAAGCCATAAGCCCAACACTGCTCATTTATTGACCTTTGACGTCTTAATTATTTTTCACAGCTAAGACTTAGTGTAGGGTAACATTTGCATGTGAATGGTCACGTGATCAAGGTTTACACACAAATTTGTTTCGCGTTAGTTGGTCACGGCTGATGCTAGACCCCAGGCTTACTTGGTAAATTAATAATTTACTTCAAATCTTTATTAATATTTTTAAAAAAATCTACGTTTTGAGAATTAATATATTGATTTATCTTAACAGCATCAACTTGCTGAATTCCGTCGCCAGCTTGACCTGTTCAGCCGAGTTCGTCATGAAAATATTTCACGACTTTTCGGTCTGTGCAACGAGTCAGACCCACATTACATGGTACTGGAACACACTGATTGGGTGAGTTTTTGACTTTATTACTTCTTGCTTCAAGAATACCCATCAACAACAGTCTTTCCTTCTGTTTAAGAAATTGGAAGGCGTGAAAGATTTAATTTTGAAGTTATACTTCTTTTGGCGATATAGGGAAAATTAATGATAAGAGTAAATTTATACGATGCGCGCGCATACCGACACCCTGAAGTCAGCTATAGTCAACATCTTATTTTTCAAAAAAAGTTATCAACAAAGTAAGAGTAAGGATCTACGTGTTTGCGCCAGAACTGACAACTGTATTCACGATATTTATTTACTTCTATAAACGTAGAATAAGGGGAAAGATAAAAATTGTGAAAAAAATTGTTTTTGTTACGCCAAAGAAGTATTACTTCTAACGCGTGTACATAAGAACACTCACGTTTTTTTTTCTCTTATAATGGTTGTCTAGATGAGATCGCTCGAAAGCGATAAGGCCATTTTCCTTCCTTTTTATTTAATTATTTTAATCGTATTGTACATTAAACCCCTCTATAACGCGTTTTCGTATAACTCGTATTCCGTCCCCCATATAACGCGGTGATTTTTCAAGTTATATTTCTGTAGTGTGAAATTTATAATGATTTGTCAAGTCAATAGTTAGTTTTGCGTAACTTTGCATCTGTTTCAATTGTATTATAAAATTAGTGTTCCTAGTTTTTGAATTGTTCAAGAAAGGGTTTTACCATAATACAATCCTACAACACGGTTCGGGTCTACCGCGTTATAGGAAATATGTATGAATAAATAACATAGTGTATTTCCTCTTGTATATCTAATCAGTTAAAACATGGTTTCTCTATAAAGTGTCGATAATTTTGACAGCACTCAAAATAGGATTGTGACTTCAGTACAGTTCAATTAATGTTCAAAGCATAATCAAATTTTGCAGATTCAGACCTGTCCTTTGGTTTATACGTACTATGTATAATCCACTAAGCAAACTTAATAATAATTTAAAAAAAATTATGTATCATAATAATTTTATTGTCATTATAATCTTATATTTATAAGGTCCCCAGTAGCAAAGTAAACATACTTATATACAATTATTAAATTTCTATAAAACACAGGGTGACCTAAAAACCTTCCTGATCGCGACCCGTACCGACGAAGAAAACGAGGAGTACATAGCTCGCGTGGGATCTTCCCACGCGTTGCCCAAACCCCAGCACTCGGTCCCACCTCTGGAACATTTGCACAAAGTGGTTTTGGCCCAGCAGTTGGCTGCTGCCGTCAATAAGATGGCCAGTAAGCGGATGACGCATCGGTAAGCTGTTCTTGGCCATTATTTTATGGGATTTTGTTTCCTTGGTTATTTTTTTACTTTGTTTTTTACAATGTTCACTAAATTTATTTATTGCACATATAATATGTCTATCTACGAACGCGTCCGCTCGATCGTAGATTTTGCGTGCACAAGTTGATATGGACACGCTTTTAAATTACTGAACTAAGTATGTATAGAAGTTATAGAACTATTCCTCTCTCACAAAAAGTCCATTTAAAGTCTAAACTGAATAAAAATATTGTAACACAAAGTACAATTATAAGATAATTAATAAATTCTAAATTTACATTTAATATCAAGGGGCTTAAAACAAAACTGGTAACACTCCGCCACACTTTTTTATCTAAGTATTTTGCTTTATCTATAACCATATGTTTGTTAAATTTACGTCTTAAACATATTTAAAGGGGCCTCATAGCCTAGGGGTCTTATTAAGTGGCAGCTAGGTGAGGGGTAACGGGTTAGATTCCCGGTTCGAGGGCAAGTTTTAATTTAATTTAAATTTGTTCTCGGCCGTTGGGAGGGTTGTGCGGTACCGGGTGAGTGCTTAAACCGTACATGGAGGACACGGCCGAATTTCTAAAGACAAGCACGAATTATAAAAAAATCCTATACTTGACGCTGGCTAATGCACAAATCGTGCCAGAGCCATAAAAAAAAACATATTTAATGACAGCTTCATAACATTTATTACAGCGACATCGCAGCTCGTAACTGCCTGATTACCTCACAATTGCAGCTCAAATTGTCATTCCCAGCTCTCACTCGAGGACCCAATTCCCACGAATACTTTAAACTGCATGACCAGGTATGAAAAATCTTTATAATATTTGACATTAAAAAGTCATTTAACGATTTCAAACATAGATGTCACTGACAAACTGATATTAAAAGAGCTCTATCTCTATTATTTTTAACTATTATTTCAAATTTTATATAAAATCTTCCATAGCTATCAACTAGATATAGTTACAAATCGATTGTGATTGGTATACATTAAAATAAAACCGCTTTTTGTATTGTATTATTCTTACTCTTTCATCTCTTTCTGTCAAATTGTGTTGACGTCGTGATGAAAAGAGACAGATGCTTACTTTAGATAATAGTACAAAATATGTTGCGACGCTTAAAACTTGAAGACGGCTGTACCAATTTAAGTATTTCTTATTATTTATTCGGAACTCAGACGTTTTTGTAAAGTGAAAATTGCCCTAAAAACCGTCTCTATGGGGTAGCATAGAAAAATTTTCTATATGTTAATATGTAGCTACTAAAAAGGTAGGCTAAGTAAATCATAATAAAGCGAAACGAAGTTTGGGGCTGGTGTAATAAAATGTATTGTGTCGAAGCAAGTAAATTTATTCATAAGAGTTATTTCAAAAAAAATAATTTATAATTTAATTAAAAAAATACTGTTGTTAATACCAACAAAGAAAAGAGAGTTTGATGTAACCAATCATAAATATTGTCTAATATTTTTTTAAGGTGATCCCACTTCGCTGGCTTCCCCAAGAGTCTGTCTTAGAAGGAGATTATTCTACAAAGTCCGATGTGTATATGTTTGCTACCACTATTTGGGAGGTAAGTCTAACCAATTTAAAACAATAAACATTTTTTTTTTTAAAGATAGAATCCACAAAGTAGACAAAGCATTTTATATTTAAAAGTTTAATACGAGGGTATGTAAAAAAAATCTCATCTACCCACATGTTTTGCAGATTTATACAAAAGCTGAACAGCCATTTGCAAAACTGAACGACAACTCAGTGCTTGAAAGACTGAAGAATGGAAGTCTTGAATGGAATGTTCCGGATTCGATGCCCGAGAAATTGCTGGCTTTATTGGTAAGATATTGTAATTTCTTCTCCGGCATATGTGAAATAATTTTACCAATATAATAAAATATTTATGTTTTTTTAATTCTTCAGAAATTTTGAGTCAAAATGACTAAAAGTTAATATAGATACAATAAAATAATTTAAAACAATTTAATTAAATTTAAAAATCTCGTTAATTTTTGAGTCATACCTGCTTTTTTAAAATTAACTTGGTTTTCTTTTCAGAAACGTTGCTGGACAACATCGCCAAAAGATAGGCCGCAATTCTCAGAGGTGTGCGAAGATATATCTGTTATAATACAAGAGATTACAGCTGAAACTGTCTCCCAACACTCTAAAGACAAAAGTGAACTTAACGAATAATTTTTTATCATTTAAATACTCTTGAATAAGTCTGATGCTTTAGACTAAGGGAGACCCTGTATCCACGTAGTACAAACTTTTCGACAACGTTTTCACGTTTTAGTCTCGTATCGTATTGACGATAGTTAAACACGAATAATATTGTAATATGTATTCTAAAGCTGTATAAGCTTCCGTTTAGTTCCAAGAAGTATATATAAAGATGAATGAAATGAATTGTTATTTCAATTTTTCAACTATTTGGTTAAGATACGATTCGATACGATTAATGGCTAAATCTACTACTAGATGGTCCATACAGATATAGGAAACTGTTTGCCCCATTTGGACTTCAAACATTTCCCTTACTTAGTCTAGAGAGTCAGACTTTTTAGAAAATAATATCACTTGACATTTGAATGTTGTAATGCAATAAGATATTTTTGCAGTCGTACTTTCGGCTTTGATCTATCTCGGTTAAATTTTTAAGTATAATAGGCATAATTTTGTGACATGAATTTTCAATAAATAAAAAAGTCATTTTGATGCATTTACATTAGTACAGTACTGGGGCTGGCGAAGTGTATGTGTATCTAGCACTTTTATTGATAACGCTAGAGCGTGCTGGATTATCATTTTTTTAAGAGTAAAACACGAGAATTTTTAACTCTTTAATATGTCAGTCAAAATGTCTCTAAAAGTTTAAGAAATGCATTTGTATAAACTTTATAACTTATACAACGAGTATTATGTAGATATTAGGTTGTAATTTTTGCATTTATTGTAGTTTATAATTGGTTATATTTATTACTCCTTTACGACTTGCCAGATCAAATAATAATTTTGTACACTTCTTTGTACAGTGCCTTTATTGGCATCCCGTAGGATTTTTTGCCCCTAGTTCAAAGAATGATTAGCCTTTAAAAACGATTTAAAAAACGTTCGATTAACGTGATCATTACGATAATCTAACGATAGTTCACACTAGGCGTCTGAATGGGGTAATAAAGTATGGCCAAATTTAGTTTTAAGAGTAAACCGTCAGCTACGCGATACTGCCATTATGTATATAGAGTAGCGGTTAAGACTGAATAGTTAGGAACAGTTTCAATACGACTATTTATTTATTTATAAAAGCTTGCCAACGTTCGGCACACAGATTCATTGGTACAAGAAAAAAATACAATTTTTATGGTGACAAGAAAGAAAAATAAATACATCGATTTCAATGTGTGATCCAGACCTAGAATAAAATAAAATATGTCTATTATGGAACATAAGATACATGTATCACTTATTCCACGTCATTAAATTTCAATTTGTAGGCATCCCTACTCATCGGCAAAGAAGACAGAGGGTGTAGGCCGAGAGAAAAAGCAGGCGTAAAAAACTCTCGGTACTCTTTTAAAATAGCAAATCATCAAACAACACTTATTTTAAAACAAATATCGCAAATTAATTAGATATCGGTGAGTTTTTCTTCTGAAACTATACAAGATAATGGAATAATTAAACTCAACTTTTGAAAGCTATTCAAAGGATTCTAAGTTATGTGAATATGACAGCTTAAAAAAATAAGCTTCCTATAAAAATTCTAATTTAGCAGTATGAAATATAATTCTCTAATATATAACATTTCTCTTGACTCAATCTGTTTAGAGACTTTTTTGGTTAACTCTTGTAAAGGATTATAAATGTGAATATGATAGCTGAAATAAAAAAAATATCCTCATATATAAATTCAAATTAAGTGGTATGAAATATACTTTTTAAATATACAATATTTGGCTCCGCTTAGAGCGACAACAAACACGAGATTTTTATATAGATTGTATGTGATTTTTGATTATAAGTTTTATTATATAATAATTAGTCGTATTGTAACTAGCTTTTAGTGTATATTAGTTTAAATCGTCCATTGATTCACGTCCTATTTCGAAACAAAATTCTATTTAGATGTACAGTGGGCAACATTGACAACTGAAATTATTATTTATCTTTATTATATAATTTTTTACAATAGTTCTTAACCAACTGTAAATATGTGCCGCGACATTTCTTTAAATATCCTTAAAAGACGCTTAAACAGAGCAGTGTTGATCTAGTGGCTTCAGCGTGCGACTTTCATCGCTGAGTTCGTAGGTTCGATCCCCGGCTGTGCACCAATGGACTTTCTTTCTATGTGCGCATTTAACGTTTGCTCGAATGCTGTAGGATAACATCGTGAGGAAACTGGCTTGCCTTAGACCCAAAAAGTCGAGGGCGTGTGTCAGGCACAGGAGGCTGATCACTTACTTTCCTATTACATTAACAAATGATCATGAAATATATACAGAAATCAGAGGCCCAGACCTAAAAAGGTTGTAGCGCCACTGATTTATTTTATCTTAAAGTCTTTGTTGCTGACTGTACTTTAGTTTGTAATTCGGCGTTAAAAGTCTCAAGGACTAGGCTAAGTGTACATTTAAAGTAACCAGGTGATGCATTTATAGATTTAGAAGTTCATGCGTTACTCAAATCTGAGTACGGTTTGAGATTAGCTTACCAACGCAATTTTTCGAGATTTTTGACAACCCTCATTACAACAATTCTTGACCCCCTCGTCGTAACATATATTTTGAACACCCCCCTCTCATAACAAAAATTTGACCCCCCTCACAACAAGACTTTTAACACCCCTCTCATAACAACAATTTTAACCCCTTCTACAACAATTTTAACACCCCCTCTCATAACAATAATTTTTGACACCCCCCCCCTGTAACATTTTTCTGTACATAACTGTAAAGAAGATATCAAATAGCCACTTCTTTCTCGCGTCTCTAACGCTCCTCCTGTGTAACAATTTTATTAGCTTAGCTTATACTCCAAAACGTTACGAGACCACCAAGTGGACCAATTTTTACCTAAACGTCACAATTACGTGGCTTTAAGTGCCAGAGAGTTTCTGCGACATAATGGAACATTACGATCTAGCCGAACTAATAAGTAATTTAAACCTAATTTACTATGAATAACACACAGTCTCTATTTATTGTTTTAATCGCGTTAATATTTATTGAACGCGCCAATCGTAACGTTTTGCAAGCCCCCCTGCCCCCCAATTTATTACGTAATACTAGAACGCCCCTTTGGTAATATCTATGTATTTGATTTTAACGAATTATATATAAAATGGGTGTGTCCTCATTACAAAAGTAGAATATACAGCTTTGTTATATGATTTTAATTCATTTTTTCTTGTTATCCTAATATTCGAGCTTCCTTCAGCTCTTTCCATATCTTTTTTGCCGCGCCCTTTTCTTCTTCCTCAATGAAAGTATAAATAATAATAAAAGCCCCTTGCTTTTATTATTATTTATACGTTTGTCAACTTCATGAGTAATCTCAAAACTCATCCCAGAATTGAGTCGTTCAATGAAGTAATTATTAGTGACTTTTTGGTCTGCTATTGATATTATACTCATTTTGCATTTAATATTAAGTAGATAAGGGCATCCGCAAATACGGATACTTTCGTAATATAAATTTATATAAAAGTACCTAAGGCCTCTTCACTATCCTCAAGAATAATTCAAAATTATTTTAATCAAAAAAATCAGTAATTCAAGATAATTTTCGGGTTATATTCCAATCGAATTTAAGTTACAGAGTAAGCCTGCTGAAAGGTAATACGTGGTGTTTGGATATGCGGATGACCATGTATGATTAAGTAGTTCCCGGTCCAGTGAGCAGTAATCTCTAGAACAAATTTTGTATTATATTCACTTCCTAGTCAATTACTTAAATTAAGTGAGAACCCAATGTTTAAAAAAATACACTGCATGGGAATTAAAGTGAAAATAATGTTTAATTTATAATAAAACTGCCGGACAGGCGTCCTGTATACATCTCAAAACACTATTTTCTCGATATCAGTCCAGCCGTTTTAAGAGTTCAATTACATACACACAGAAGATTTATATACGCATAATAAAAATATCTGGGTTATAACCAGATACTTTTGTAGTTATATTTAAAAATGTATCCCAAAATATGCTAAGCGTAAAACTCGAAGACGGCTGGAGAAATTCCAGTATTTATTTTATTCCTCGAACTCTGAGGAAGGTTTTATTGAGAGAAAACTTGTGACCGATAAGCCTCTATGGAGTAACATAGCCAATGTTCCGATGTTGGTATGTAGCTACTAAAGGGTAGGCTAAGTAAATCATATTAAGGTGGTTTTACAGATGTTTGTGCAAATTGTGTCGGATTTATTATGAAACTGTAAGTTGTAACTGATGAAACACGACTCTGTGGACATTTTCAGCAACTCCATACGATTCAATGAGCCCCTCGGGAGTTGTGTACGTAATTTCGAGGGCTTCTCGATTGTGAGTACGTTCATTGTATCTGCGCGCTTCTAAAGTTCTCATGGCATTTCCACACGTGTATATTTTTTAATATATTTAATGGGTTCAAGCTTAAATGTACCGAAACTTCTGCCATGGCATGCCAAATCTTTTTTAGATGTACAATACTGATGTAGGTCTAACATAGTTTGGATAAGGACGAATCGAAAACCTGTGAAGTGGACCACATTACGAACTCTTGAGTCATTATCTCATTGAGCAATGTACATTGCAGGTTTAAAGCTTCAGAAATCAATTAACAACCAATGTAGACAGTAGTGTTTTAGTAGTTTGGTCTCGATGAGAGCGTAATTGGACGTTGCGTTTACGGTATAACTATTACTTCGTCTAAAGCACTGATTCTCAACGTTGTTTGAGCCATGCCCCACCTGCCTTTCTACAATTCTTATGCCAATTCAAGACTCATAATTAATTATTGAATTGTTCTCGTAAGAAACTTAAATAGGTTTCAGGAAGAAATTACTAGGAAATTGTTAATGTAAATTTTCAAACAAAAGAAAAAGTGAAATTCAAATTCCAAATAAATGTATAAAAATTTGAATAGCCCCCCATAACAATAAAATTGCCCCTCTGTGGGGCGTCGGCTCGACGTTGGGAAACACTGGTATA